TGGGAGATGAAAGGGTACACTTTTAGAAGGAAAGGGTTATCAGACCTGTTTACTCTCACGATTTTGGCGTACAATGTACGATTTTAAGATGTATACATTATATATAATGTATGTTTGTTTTTTACTATTAAAATAATGTACTGAACGATTTTGTGATGATATTGTAAGATTTTAAGAGTTTAAGGGTAACCAGGTCTGGGTTATATACCCGGTATCAACGTTTTAATTATCAAATATTTTACTTCTACTTTGTAGAAAATTCTAAAGAAACTCAGGAGCTGTTGAAAAAGTGTTTGCAATATTTTCAAGATGCAGCAGAAAGTTATGTCAAAGTAAGTATTGTAAACTCACTGGTATTTAAAAACAACTTATTAAGCATTACCAGGGATAATGTTTCAAAAACTCCATAATTGTGTTTGTATAACAAATGTTATCTTGACTTTACTTTGTGCTAGGACAACAGTGTGAGAAAAGCCCAACACTGCGTCAAGTTGGCCAGACTTCTGTCTCTTCAACTGCAACTACTGGCCAATGGCGTTCAGGTCATTGAGCTGACCAGAGATCAACTGACTAATTTTGTCAATACTCACAACAGATTTATTGAGGTCTGTATCCATGTATTGCATCATTAATTTGTAGTAGCGTTTGTTTTAAAGTACAGAGTTGTAAACAAAATACTTGCATCAAAGTTGCTCATATTTGATCTTAGTGACATTCATTTACTGATGACATTCATTTACTGATGACATTCATTTACTGATGACATATACTTTCAAACATTGATCCTTGATAACTTGACTTTTTTTGAGTGTTCTACATAGCTTTAAATAGAAGCATAGGGATGTTGGTTTTAGCCATCAGAAAAGTTAGTAAAAAGAAATTCTATCAAAATCATTGATAATAGAACATTCTGAAACATGAATAATAGAATACTCATTAAAACATCTATAATAGAACACATATTAAAACATGACTAATAGATCACTCACTACAAAAATAATGGAACACTCTCTAATGTACAGGCAATGGTTGTTTCTGATGCCTATGAGAGACGCACAGACTGGTCAGAGGCCACATTCAATAATGTTGTCGTGAATGGAGACATGCGATATTTACAGGAGATGAAGTTACATGTACGCATCACACCTTCACTTGTTGAAGATGTTGTCAAGAGGTAAGTTACATGTACGCATCACACCTTCACTTGTTGAAGATGTTGTCAAGAGGTAAGTTACATGTACGCATCACACCTTCACTTGTTGAAGATGTTGTCAAGAGGTAAGTTACATGTGCACATCACACCTTCACTTGTTGAAGATGTTGTCAAGAGGTAAGTTACATGTACGCATCACACCTTCACTTGTTGAAGATGTTGTCAAGAGGTAAGTTACATGTACACATCACACCTTCACTTGTTGAAGATGTTGTCAAGAGGTAAGTTACATGTACACATCACACCTTCACTTGTTGAAGATGTTGTCAAGAGGTAAGTTACATGTACACATCACACCTTCACTTGTTGAAGATGTTGTCAAGAGGTAAGTTACATGTACACATCACACCTTCACTTGTTGAAGATGTTGTCAAGAGGTAAGTTACATGTACACATCACACCTTCACTTGTTGAAGATGTTGTCAAGAGGTAAGTTACATGTACACATCACACCTTCACTTGTTGAAGATGTTGTCAAGAGGTAAGTTACATGTACACATCACACCTTCACTTGTTGAAGATGTTGTCAAGAGGTAAGTTACATGTACACATCACACCTTCACTTGTTGAAGATGTTGTCAAGAGGTAAGTTACATGTACACATCACACCTTCACTTGTTGAAGATGTTGTCAAGAGGTAAGTTACATGTACACATCACACCTTCACTTGTTGAAGATGTTGTCAAGAGGTAAGTTACATGTACACATCACTCCTTCACTTGTTGAAGATGTTGTCAAGAGGTAAGTTACATGTACACATCACTCCTTCACTTGTTGAAGATGTTGTCAAGAGGTAAGTTACATGTACACATCACACCTTCACTTGTTGAAGATGTTGTCAAGAGGTAAGTTACATGTGCACATCACACCTTCACTTGTTGAAGATGTTGTCAAGAGGTAAGTTACATGTACGCATCACACCTTCACTTGTTGAAGATGTTGTCAAGAGGTAAGTTACATGTACACATCACTCCTTCACTTGTTGAAGATGTTGTCAAGAGGTAAGTTACATGTACGCATCACACCTTCACTTGTTGAAGATGTTGTCAAGAGGTAAGTTACATGTACACATCACTCCTTCACTTGTTGAAGATGTTGTCAAGAGGTAAGTTACATGTACACATCACTCCTTCACTTGTTGAAGATGTTGTCAAGAGGTAAGTTACATGTACACATCACTCCTTCACTTGTTGAAGATGTTGTCAAGAGGTAAGTTACATGTACACATCACACCTTCACTTGTTGAAGATGTTGTCAAGAGGTAAGTTACATGTGCACATCACACCTTCACTTGTTGAAGATGTTGTCAAGAGGTAAGTTACATGTACACATCACTCCTTCACTTGTTGAAGATGTTGTCAAGAGGTAAGTTACATGTACACATCACTCCTTCACTTGTTGAAGATGTTGTCAAGAGGTAAGTTACATGTACACATCACTCCTTCACTTGTTGAAGATGTTGTCAAGAGGTAAGTTACATGTACACATCACTCCTTCACTTGTTGAAGATGTTGTCAAGAGGTAAGTTACATGTACACATCACTCCTTCACTTGTTGAAGATGTTGTCAAGAGGTAAGTTACATGTACACATCACTCCTTCACTTGTTGAAGATGTTGTCAAGAGGTAAGTTACATGTGCACATCACTCCTTCATGTTAATTAAAGACTGACAGCTTTTATTTTTGCACTATTTTGTTACGGTACAAATTAAAAAATGTAATGATTCATAACTGGGTTAATGACCCCCAATAACATATATAAAATTATATTTTAAAACAAAGTCCCTATTAAGAATGTTTATTTTCTGGCAATAGTGCATCTGGCTTGTGTAATAATATGTTGTGGTTGCTAGTGGCTCGGTAGCTAGCATTAATCAGCTCGTCTGTAGCTAGCATTAATCAGCTCATCTGTAGCTAGCATTAATCAGCTCGTCTGTAGCTAGCATTAATCAGCTCGTCTGTAGCTAGCATTAATCAGCTCGTCTGTAGCTAGCATTAATCAGCTCGTCTGTAGCTAGCATTAATCAGCTCGTCTGTAGCTAGCATTAATCAGCTCGTCTGTAGCTAGCATTAATCAGCTCGTCTGTAGCTAGCATTAATCAGCTCGTCTGGTCTTGTATAGGTCAATTTTGGCCTGGTCGCCTATTTTTTTTTTTAGTATTCTCTGTGGCATCACTAGAGTTGGTGTAACAAAGTGCCATCATTTTAAGTTGTCACCCCCTCAAGACTTCTCTATGGACCTCCATTGAGTCTGTCTGCTTTGGTGATACCCTACTCATGTCACAACCTGTTCTGGTGGCACCCTTTTCTTATGGCACCCTGCTCTGATGGCACCCTTCTATGTTATCAAACCAACTTGATGGACCTTTCTCAAATTTAATATTTTCCTTTTGGTTTCATCTGCTGTGATGGTGTCATCCCAACGTGGGCATGTCATTCGTCTGTGAGGGTGTCGCCAGGTGTAGGCAGCACCTCAAATGACTTTACTGCCTATTCTCAGAACGTCAAGAGATGCAAAGGCTGCTCAAAAGGCACAACTTAACTTTGCTAATACTAATAAGGATTTTTCACTGTAATAAACATTAAAAAAAAAGCATCGAAATAAATTATTGAACCCCAAAGACAGTATCGGAAATTACTCTGATATAAAAAAGCAACCAATTTTGTTGTCTCTGTGTATCAAAATGAAACATCAATTCTACAGTTTGTAGTGAAAATTTTTTCAAAGATATCCTTTTTTTCCCTGAGGATTTTCTTAAATTATTTTATTTAAATTTCTTCCTGTGAAATCCAGGGGTAATGTCGATGTAATTGACGTAAACATATTTTGGGGTAATGGCTAAAAAGGTTCGCCAACCCGTTTTAACTCAGGTTATTTTAGTAAATTTGTTTAATAACTGGTGTATTGCTAATGAATGAAAAAAATGATGAAAATAATTCAATATAGGTACATTAAAAAGATATATCTTTTACAAAAAGAAAACGTTTTATTAGAAAAGTATTTGAAAAATGAATAAAAAATAAATGTCTATTATCTCTAGATATAAGCAGTTGACAGTCAAGCCAAATGCAGCAATACAGCCTCTTAGAAAGTTACTGAGCCTTTGCAAGGATGCTCAACTGCAGTACCGTCTGGCCAATGAACTGGGACTAACAGATATTGTAACTGCCTTGCTAAAAGGTGATACCAGCAACTACCTGCAGGATATTTCTGTGATATAAAAATGTAACCTAATAGACACGTTTGGCTCTAGGTGTGGAGCTCCAGTAATTAAAATATGTACAGGTGTAAAAATTAAAATTGAGTTCCATTTTTATAGAAAAATTTCAATCATAATTTTGTATCCCTTTTATTGTGCCTTTATTTATGTAATTACCCCGGTAGCCATTTTGTTTGCCTGTTACTGTGCTAAAAACATTTTAAAATAATTTTTGCCATAAGAGTAAGAGTTTTATACATTTTACTCATACCATGAATGTTAAGCTGCATTTGAAGTGTGTCCCTTGGCAGTTTTCAGTTTGTCCAAATATTTATGTCAAGTTTCTGATGTCTGCTGAAGCAAGATGATATTTACCATAAAGATTGCTTCTGTGACATAATTGTTCTTTAATAATCAAAGATAATTTTGTTTTAAAACTCGTCCAACGAATTCAGTAGAACCTAAGAACATCATGTAAAGGCGAGAAATGGCACAAATCTTTAAAAATAAATTCTATTAAGTTTCAACTACTTTTAAACAAAAGTTAATTCTAACTTGAACTGACAAAAAGGTCAAATTTACTCGGTGTTTTTACTTTTTAAACACTTGCACATTAATTAACACCATCATTTAAAATCCAACTGAAATTATTTAGCTGTTTCATAATGGGTTAGATTTGTACTTTTGTAAAAAGCTTTAAATAAATACATTTTTGTTTGACTTTCCAAGTAGTCCTCATGTTCATGAACATTATAATTTGGTTGTGAAGTGCATATATTGTTAACTACTTGTACATTTTGCTCACATCTGATACTCATGTATGCCAGAAGGCGAAGAATTTCCACTCAACAAATAAGTGATTATTTACATACATAATTAACAAAAAAAATTTATCACATCAAATTTTTTGTCTGTAAAGCTCAGATTTATTTTTGTTGTAAGGCAGTAATATATATTAATTATGCAACAAACATTCGAAAGAAAGATATTTGACAACAGTGACAATTGTCACAAACATTTTCCAGCTTTTCTATGGGATAATCTGATAAAGTCAACTTCAATATCAACAGATTTTTTCTTGTGAAACTTGAAAGTATTGGCTAAATCATAGCGTAGTTCTGCAAGGACACTTACATCCACTTCCCAACTGGCGGCTTTCTTAAGAATATGCTGTGTGGATGGTTGCATAAAGAGGAATTGAAATAAAAGTGAATAATTAGTAGGCTGTTATTCTTAAATTGCTGTACATTTTTCATTTTAAATAATTCCTTTTTATTTTTGATAAATAAAAGTTGAATTAAAATTTCTGTTTTGCTTTTTTCTAATTAATTCTGTTCCCTTCTCGATTTTTGTTTACATTAAAATTTAATATAAATATAAGAGGCTGACATAGTAATGCAGACAATTCAATTAATTTAATAATTTCATTTCAACTGCTGCATTTATCATAGTATCTCCTGAAGTAAACATTCAAAGTCATTAGAGGATATTATTAGTGCATCTAATTGTCACGTTCAGAGTTAGCATATTATTTACCATACATTTTTTAAAGGTGGGTGAAGCATACTTAAACTTCACCCATATAATTAATATTACCTCTCTGGTTGATGTTTTATGAAGAGAATAGACAGCATTATTTGACAGGTTAAGTGCAGCTTGAAGGAAGGCAATATCTATACCTGTGAAGTACATCAGATATGCATAAAACCTTAAAAATATAAATATACAATATTTCATGCTTAAAAAATTATAAGAGTAATAAGTAGATTTCTCAAAGAAATGGTAAATGGGATTATATGAATTCACCAACATACAATAGATTACTGATATATGAAATTGAATTAATAAGTAAAATATATATCTACCATATCTACAGTTTTGAATAGAATTGTGTTTTGCATATTAGAAACCTTTTTTTGGAAAAAATTATTCAACTGGTAAAAATATAATTGTAAGTAGAATGCACCTTGCTTTGATTGTAACTTACCTTCATTGTGCTTAGTCCCAAATGGGGGATTCATCACCACGGTATCAAATTTCTTAAATAGTTGACTTGATTTTGGATCAGGTCCGAGCAAACATCGAACATCAGAGGCCATTAGATCCACAGAGTTCATTTCAAATTCACACAAATTATTGTAGCAGGTTTCTAAAGCATCTTCATCAACATCTATTCCAAGGACATACCTGTAATGGTTTACAAATTTATTTTAAGCTATAAAGGAAATAGTAGAGCAAGATATGTTTAGGCTTGAAATGAAACTCCAAGACAAATAAAATTAGTTTGAAAATTGATGCTCTACTGTATTATTAATATAAAGTCGTAAATAGTTATTCAATAATATTTTTTCAACATCTGTTAATATTAAGAACTAATGTGTGTACATACCCAGCTCCCAGCATCGTTGCACCAATACTTAATATGCCACAACCTACACCCAAATCTGCCACACATTTATCAGCCAGATCATCATAGGTTGAAGACATTGTATGCAACATACATGCTGAAGAGAGCGAAACATTTTAAGTTTCAGATTTTAATTTTTTATTGTGCAAATAAATCCTTGACTTACATATACCCTTGTGACTCTGTAGACACATTCTTAATAAAATGGTTTACCATATAATTATAATTCAAACTTCATTTATTAATGCTATTAGTTTTAATTTCTTACCAGCAATATGCGGTGTAGTGGGATATTGCTCTAGCTTGATTTTTGGGTTTTCAAACACTTCAACATCTTGTAAATATGATTCCAATTCTTTTCGTTTCATGCACTTCAGTTCACGAGCCATTAGACATTAGTATTACTTGAGTCTGTTTTATAATGGTTGGCAATTTGTAGTCCTAAATATCACAAAAAATCAATGATGGCTGACGGTAATGTTTCATTAAATTATTTTAAGTATTAACAAGGGATAAATACTTCTTAATGTTAACTTTAAAAAAAAAAAGTTATTAATTTATAAATCAACGCTCTACTGTATTATTAATAATCAATTGAATTTATTATGTCAATGTATTTTTAACTTGACTACTTAAGTAATAGTATAATATATTATATATATCTTTATCTATTTCTATATGAATTATTAAGTATATAGCATATGCATATAGTTATAGTTATAGCCTACTCTAAGCTAGACCTAAGTCATCTTAATCTTATAATTATAATTTAATATAATACTTCTAATTCTATCAAATTAATAATTAATTACTACTTTTTGAAAACTATTTAATTTACAACATTACTATTCCATTTATAATTAATATCTAAATACTAAATGTCAATATTATAATAAAATAAAGACAAAGACTATTATTAATTTCATAAATTAGCCTATTACTTATGATGGCGAAGTGAACATGTTATGTTTTAGTACTGCCACATACAGCGATACTAGTGAATAGTGAGATAGTCTATTTGAATAAACTAATTTAATAAACCCTAAGTCATAAGTCCAAAGCCCTAATTTAGGGATTAAACAATCCAATGCTGAATAAGGAATTAAATGGTCACTTAATTACTATTACAACAATAGTGACAATACTGGTTAGTCCCGGTTAGTAAATTATTTTTTATTATAATAATTTTATGAAGTGGCTATTTGGACCCGGTTCCCAGAAGTGAGAGGTTGGGATTAAAAAAATATAAAAAATATTATTGTTGGGTTGTAAGACAAAATGGTAAATGTGAAGAGATAGCACCGCGTTTGCAGCGACAAGCGAACTTATGTCCTAAATTTATCACTAAACCTAACCTGAACCCTAAACTTATCCCTAACCTGGGTTTTGACACTATCGGAACCAGGGTTTTGACCCTACCAGAGACAAAACGCACAAATGACGTCAGGGTGCTATCTCTTCACATTAGCCGACAAAATTAGGTATCAAATGAAAGATAATTGAATCTATGTTTGTAAACTTACTTCTTCAGTTTAACTAAAATAAACTACGACAAATGACATCTGAATGGCATTGTTGAGTCTAAAGGCTATGGTGTCCTGGTCCCACTAAACTTTAGGCTTTAGACTAAATCAAATGCTATTCGGATTCGGATGTTGTTTGTGGGTAGCTTATTTTTTTAGTTAAACTGAAGAATTTAAACTCTTAGCGAAGTCTTAGCGGCTAATGTGATTCCGATAGGGTCAAAACTCAGGTCCGGGATAAGTTTAGGGTTCAGGTTAGGTGCCTAAAGTTTAAGCTTAGGGATAGATTAGACATTAGTACATTAGACTCATTAGTGCACATATCATTTAGATCTTAGATAGTAGATAGATTTAGTTTAGTAGTTTAGTCATTAGTACTCATTAGGCATGATTAGGATTAGGCCAGGCCAGGGTTCAGTTTAGGCTTAGGTTTACTTTTACTTTTAGGGCAGGGATACATACATTCATTCAGGACATAAGTTCGTGGCAACCAAATTTAAAAAAACGCGGTGCTAACTCTTCATATTTACCTCTACACGCTACATCATCCTTTAATTTAATGCATTAATCAGTCATAAAGTTAAATTTTGCTAATTTACCTTGTTATGGAACCCCCTTGTTATTTACACAAGTCACAAAGTTTTCGATTATTTTGTAGGAAATGAATTGACAGAAGAGCTCTATATTCAAATATGAATTATAACATCATTTTCTGATGTATAACCCGTTTCAATATAATATTTTTAAAAATAGCGTATTAAATCAACAAACATCTATATTGTTCATTAAATTACCTAAAAGTAAACAAATCATTTAAATAATGAGGGTAAATTACAGTAAATTACAAATTAATTTATATATGTAAATCTGGCCAAACATTTACTGCCGTCGAATCTCAAATGCAGTAAAAAGTAAAGTAAATTCTACACGCTAAACGCCGTTACCGGGAACGTATTTATTGCGACTACGTTTATTTATTCTTGAGAAGTGTCCATTTCTTTGAATTAACACCCTTGTGAGTATTTTTTTTCCCTTTATAAGCCATTAATTACTATAAATATCACTCATACTTTAAATCCGTACTGGACCCCCAGAATCACTAAAGTAAAGAGACAATAAAAGTGAATTCAGTTTAAATATTTATGACATGTCACATAGTAGGCCTAACACTACTACTACTGTGGTGGTAGTGTAGGTAGACAAATTTGAAATAATAGACACAAAAAATGCTTAATAATTAATAGGCCTAAAACTAAAAAAAGTTATTAAAAAACAACTACTAGTCAATAGTCGCTTAACTTGTAAAAGTCTAATGACATGTCCAAATGATGGCAATGATTTTTGATCAATGATATTTCCTCCTGCCCAATGACTAGAGACTGACTAGTGACAATGTTGCATGATGAAAATGAATGTAACTAAAGCAATGTTTGTTTGTGATTGTATGTAAACCAATCACGTTTAATGTTGATGTTTTGAGTTTATTTTGTGTAAGATGTAGCTAGCTGCATTGGTTCTGCCAATGCCAATCAATAGTCAATAGTTTACTTATTACTAGCCCTAAGCCCTAAGTCCTAAGCACAGTGACATCACTTTGATTTTAATTTTGGGAAATCCCAACAATGTGCTTAAACTTAAGTTAAGGTGAAAGTGAATAGACCAAAAGGTGTAGTTAAATCAGCGGCATGGGTTTGCTAAGACTCAAGAAGAGTTGTCTCACCCTAATAGGCGCAGTCCCATCATTCTGATCGATACAGTTACTGCACTATTACTATGAAAATGCAAATATTAACCCTCTTAGAATGGAGCCTTTTCGGGGTGTATGTGCCAAAAAGACGGAGCACTTTTTACGAGCTCGGCACTCGCATTGCCAACAAATTTATAAAAAATAACCTTTTTCCTTAATATATGTAACATTTAAAACTGTATATATTCTTGTAGGAAATTGAATGAACTAATACAATCTTTATGAATCAAACTGAAATATCAACATTTATGCAAATGAGCTACCATGATTTGCATAATTTATGCATATAATTTTTTTGTTAAACCTAGAATAAACATGACTTACTTGTATCAATTGTGTGAATTTTTTGATGAATGAAGCCTGAACAAGTCCTAACACTTATGTTTTTGGGAAACCAGGGCCCATGGAGGCCCTTCAGATACATCTGGCACATAATTCTACTCCTTTTCCATCCCCCCACCCTATTTTTCAGTTGTTACAGACACACTGTAACAGGCCCCCATTTATGACCTAGAGACCTCCTCTTAAGCTGGATGTTACTGAGAAAGTTGTCTGCATATCTATTGATCTCTCTCATAAACATTTGAGTGATATTTAGTGTAAAAAATAGCATAAAGTACTCAAATGGGGAGCTTATGCCTTATTTATAGGACCTATGTTGTCTAAAAATTCACAGGGGTCATCCCTGTCCAGTTGAGGACCCCTAATACTAGTAATACTAAACCAAGGGTTCACAACATTAGCATTAACCTCAATGTGAAAGTCTTCATTAATTTCCTGGTTGTTTTCATCAGTTTCAGTGTCAGATTCACTGCTAGAATATCAAAATCACTAAGCACAGTTTGAGCAGAGTCACTGTCAGATATGTTCGAATTTCACGATATAGCTATACTCACAAAAAAAAATTCTTGCACACAAATAAATCTAGTTCACCATCAACGAACACCACCATTACAATGCCGGGATGTGCAGGAATGCGTAAGAATATATTTGATTCGCTGGTACAACGCGAAGCCAGTCAATCGTGAGGCTCGATTTATCGGCCGATGATTCGGACTTACGTCTTTTTAGCTAGTCAACCCTGGGCTGATAGATCGGCCCTTACGTTCCAAGAGGGTTAAATAACAATGCAGCGTCTACATGTCCGGCAACCGGACAATGACAATTCTTCCTACGGGCATGTCACGTGACCGCCGGACGACTAGTATTATTCCGGCAGACATGTCATGTGACGAGGTCGCCGGCTAAATAAAAAAAAAGAATTCTGTTTCTTGGTTTAAATATCTATGGTATAAAGTTCTACCTACTACAGCCTAAATTTAAAATATGAACCAAAGAAAATAAGACCAAGACGTGCCAGTTGACTGTCAATAGACCTACTGTCAAAAAAGTGTTATTGAGGGCTATTAATATTGCGTGAGAAGTAGGCTACCCTAACAGCACACTATATTGGCCCTATGCCTATATTAAGATTTTGGGTCTATTTCTTTGTGAACTTTCGACCTCCCTGTCTTAATTATTTATCACCCTCACTATTATTTTTATCCTTTCTCTCTCGCTCTCAGGATTTCTTCCTTCTAGTATGCATTGCTCCCCCCCTCCCACTTATTTCTTGAAATGAATTGCCTACTCGTCCCCATGCATCTCCATGACAGTTTTAGGATTGACTATTAGCGGACACGTCACAAGGCTGATGGGCACATATCTTGCCCAACTTTGTTACGGCGATCGTGTGACCTGGTCGCCGGACGAATATCTTGAGAACTTATTTGTCCGGTCGCTGGACAAATAGACACTTTGAAATAAAAATAGTCTTTTTTTTTTTAAAGTTCGGTAATCTTGAGCGTCAACCAAGAAAAAATGCAGTTGTTCCGGTGGAAGGGCTAGTTATACAATTATTCTTAAAATTATGTAAAAGACATTCATTGTACGTATTCATTATCACAGACAATGTCGCCATTTCACAGGGCATCGCAACCTAACATTCTCTGGAGCAACATTCTCTGGAGCAACCGCCTCTTACCCAACCACTTTCAATACAAAAATAAAGATGGGGAGAAAAATCTTTTTATCAAATAAATAGAGCTAATTACCGATATTACCGAAATTTTTTGAATGCAGAACCATGGTCTGTATAAATTGCATTTGACCTGGGGAGCCTCCAAGTCCTATATACTGTGGAAGACATCGCCAGCCCTGCTGCTATCTCAACTAACTGCATTTTAGCCTAGTGCTTTTTAGTTTTTTTTTTTAGAGTTTAACTTGCGTGTCAGGAAAATTTATTCTAGATTATCTTAGAGTTTTGTCAGGAACATCTGGAGTTCCTTGACCATATTCACAATAATCCGTATGTGTAATAATTGCCTGCATGAACACTTCTTATTAAGAGCATCTGAATTTGAATCTCACTGTCTGGAGCTGTGCAACCCCTAATCTCATGCAGATGTACTCCAAAGCACACATTTATTATAATTGTACACTAATTTTGTGTTTCTTGACCACACTAGGGCATTTTGTACACTACAAAACTATTTAAACAAATACTTTATTTAGACCTGTTTTTATAGTATAATATCTTCTTTTCTTGTAGCCCACATAAATGTTTAGTAATTTGTTAACATTCAGTATGGACATGACATGTCTTGAATGTAATGTGTCAAAATTATATTATATTGTCAGATATTTACAATAATATAATATTAATTTATAAAAATTATATAGGGAATTATAAAAATGTGTTTCTAAAAAGATGTATCGTCCAGTGGAATTTGAAAAGCATTAAAATAAAGACATGAAGAGGTTGGTTCGTTGTTAAGTAGCTTATTCTTTTCACAAAGTGATTAAATAAATGAACTTCTATTTTAACATTTGTTAGTTAAAATGACAATATGTAACCTGTGTTAAAGAAGTGACTAAATGCACTACTTTTTAAACCTGTTTTATTAGTCAAACTCTTCAACCCTGTTTGGAAAAATTTATTGTTTCAGTTGAAATAGGCACCAAGAATGGATGCTGATTTGTATGATGAATTTGGTAATTACATTGGGCCTGAATTAGACAGTGATGATGGTGAAGAGGAGGAAGAAGAGGAGCAGGAAGATGATGATGAATATGGCGACAGAGATGTAAGCATTGTTTGATCAATTTTTTAAAACTGTGTGCTTTAAATTTCATATAATGCATTACAATTTTGGCTTATCAAAAAATGAAATATGAAAACCTAAATATAGAATTAGGTTGTCCTAGTTAGATAAATTCTTTCGGCTCATAATAAATGATGTACAATTATGATTGTGCTTTTACTTAGAATGAAGCAAAAATTGTTTTGTCTTTTAGGATGATGATGACATGGACCAAGATGACAATGACAATCAAGCTGATATGCAAGTTGTGCTCCATGAAGATAAGAAATATTATCCGACCCCAGAGGAAGTGTATGGCCCTGATGTTGAGGTGAGAATGTCTCTATCGTTCTTTTAGAAAATATTTGTTTGCAAGATATGGAATTTTTCATCCATGGCACTCCTAAATATATATGATTTCTCTAACTTACTTTTTCTTTAAAATCATCTAGTATTATCTTTCATTTCACATTTCTCCAAATGTTTGATATCTTGTTATTTTTTCAATATTAGCTTTGTGTTTGCTTTTTATTATTAAGACATTCACTAAGAGACAAAGTTTTCTCCTTTAGACCATTGTTCAAGAGGAAGACACTCAGCCCCTAACAGGTAAATAAAAGAAATCTGTCGGTTTAGTTTAAAAAAAAATAAAATAATTAGAGGGATGCATTGCAGATGCTATACAATTCCAAAATAAAAACAAGCCTTAATAAATCATATTCTAATGATTGGGATTCATCATTGAACTACATAGCCTCAAATATTTCAAAACAATGGCGTGCAATTACTTATGTCGTATGGAGTACAGAGCCTCAGATGCAATTACCTATCTCAGGC